CACACATTGAGATTGATGTGAGATTAAGGACCATCACCCTCCTAACAATCGATGGAAATGACAATTCATCTGAATTTTGTGTCAGTTATTCTCACGTTGATTACCTGAACGTGTGTACCTCATTTATAGATGCTTTATTAAAACAAAATTGTCCATGTCACTTTCATATCTTCCACTGTTTTACAAAAGTCAGATAATACTGCAGCCAAGTAACTTAATTTCCTTACCTCTTAATCAGCTGGATGACAAACCTAACCTGTTTTCTTTCTGGATGTGTTAGTTTATATAATAGGTTCTGCATTGTCAGATCTATGCTGAACCTATTGTTTTCAGTAGTAGTCTGATTTGTCCCTGTGATAAGGCCTGTGGAGATGTGATTATTCCAATAAAAATTCATTCAGTCGGAAACCAACCCTCCAGCTGTTTACTCCCACAGTCCCTGAGCTACACTAACATTGTGTGGAATCCTTGAACAATATTTAATGTAGAATCAAAACCATCTTTAAAACATTTTACTTTAGGCTCTGTAACATTGTGTAACCTTCACAATAGATTCCTAGCATCCATGAGGGAACACTTTAGTTAGACAACTTTGGGCCTCGACTGCTGTGTTCATCTCTGAGGAAAGCTATGAAGACTGTCCAGTACCTAAAGAACGTATCTTGACAGTAAGATTTCAAGTGTTCATGTGTGCACTCTCTCTATTGCATATAACAGAAGGTATGCAACACTGGAAGTTTCTCGAAAAGATGTCTGAGTAAAAACTATATACTGCCATGCTAAAGCCAGCTCTGGCACGTATAATGTATGCATCAGTTTGCAATTGTAGCTGCTGCAATGTTCGGCAGCGTACAGACACTGCAAATCTATTACATATGTTCTTTTCCGGGATAAAAAGTGGTTTGCTTCTTAAGGAAGAGCTACACTTTTGGCTTTATTTATTTTAATGTTCTAGGCGTGAAAAGCAAATAATTTGCACTCAGGCTGTTTTCTGGTTTGAATATTGTTGGTGTTTTCACTCTTTGGCAGGTCCAGTTGCCCTAAGCACATCAGCCCAGCTTGTGGCCCCCTCAGTAGTAGTGCAAGGCACGCTTTCCATCACTCTTTCGGAGCTCTACTTTGAGGTGGATGAAGAAGATCCCAGTTTTAAGAAAATCGACCCAAAGGTAAGAGATCATTGACCCTGAGCTCTGAGAGATGATGACAAATTACTTGGACCTTTAATTCTTCATTCAATTTCCTTTACCTCTATTGGCCTGCAGTGTTCCAGCTTTAAGTTTGAGACTGACCACATATGTTACTGAACTTTGTAGGTGACACCTCCTTCCCTTCTCCTTTCTCTCCCCCTCCCACAATTCGACCCTTCTTGAATGTTAATTAGCTTGCTGCGAATAAAGCTCCAGGGAGGCATCTTAAATAAAGACATCTTGAATCACAGGCCTGTGTGAATAGTGGAAAGTTCAACGAGGCTTTTAGCCCAAATGCTTCGGTTTTCTTTCCTATCTTTGTATAATGCCAGTGTAACATAGTGCTAAACTTCCTACACTTGTAAGCTTTCGGTGCTTCTGTATCATACTATTCTCTAACAGCTTTTACAGAGCCTGTTAGTATTTATTGTGCGTAAGCAGAAAATATAATTGCCCTCTTAAAATACGTTGCTGACCTGACTTGCTAATTTCCACAAGCTTTATTTGCTCTGAGTTAATTGATTACTAGTATTTTGCTTAAAATTAGTAACCTTCAGTAAAATTCCTATTTCAAAGGCAGTATATTGTGTGATTAGCTTAATAAGCTTGCATTTGAATGTCTTCTATAGTATGACAGTATTTATGCAGCATTTACAGTATTATGACAACATTTCAAAAGTATGACATGATAGGTAAATATTCTTGCATCCCAATTTAGGCACAATTGATGGCTCTTGATTTTTTAGTATGTCCTTAATATTAAAAAAGTAATAATTTCTTTGTGAAGGAGGAAAAAAGTCACTTCAAGTAGGAATGGGTTTCTGCTTGTCTGTAGAGAATACCTTGTGTGTTAAGTGCCGGTTCAGTTCTTTGTTCCTAGTGAGTAAATTGCTCTTGTCTGTATTAAAAATGGCATCAGTGGGTCTGAAAGCTCGGAGTATCAAATCCTATCAGGGAGTATATTTAGTTTGGAAAACAATGCTCTCAAATTCTTAGAAGTAGAATTTCATATATGCAATTAACTAGAATTGTGATTTTTATGTGGTACCGTAAATGAGATTTAACTTTTGATCCTGAAGTATTCTTCTGAAATATTCTGGAAATCATTTCAAGTATGAGATAGCTCTTAAAATTTTGATATGCTTACTCCTTCCATAGTGTTTTTTAAAAAATATCTAACAATAAAAAGGATATAAATATAAAATCTAAAGACAGCTTGATATGTTGCTGTATTGCATTTTCCATCTAAAAGGTTCTGCTTTGTATTGCATTAGCATAAGAAAAGTCTTACAGATCTGCATTATTCTGCATTTTTGTTTTCTATGGTTAGCACTTATGGTGTTTGAGTACAGCTACTAATTCTTAGCCTTCCTGTTAATGTTTTATGGGGGACACTGACATGCAACATATATTCAGCCTGCTTTCTTTTCTGTTTTCGAGTATTTGGTAGCAGTTGTTTTCTTAACTGTGAGCAGGCATTCTGGTTTATTTTGACTCTGTCTTTAATTCTGTATTGGAGATATTTTTCTGGGGGTTCCTACAAAAGGAGGAGTTGGTTATATGAAATGTAGGCTACATCTCTTAAGTCCTACTTGTGATGCTGCTTTAGCTGGAGGTCTTAAGAGGAGGGGAAAAAAGACCTTTTGTAACGTCTGGGGCGGGTTTTTTTGGGGCTAAAAATCAAATTAACTATTTTTAATTTAGGAAACAGTTTAGGAAACAAGCTTGCAACGTGGCTGTCTTTCAAGCATTAACGCCTCCCTGCCCCACCCTCTGCTTAAGTTACTGTACCTTGATAGCAGTGACTATCAAGACTATCAGACTAGAGCTGCTGTAGGAAATACCCCTTGGAAAAGAAAAAAATCCTAATCCTCTGTAGCTCAGCGGGCCTGTTTAATTAATGAGGCTTCATCTGTTTGATAAATTTTAAGTTCCTTGTATATTTGTCTAAACTACCGAAAAGAAAACATTGTGACAAGTTCCTGAAGACCTGCCGTAGAGATAGCACCGGCCCCGATAAGATCGGCGTGTGCTCTTGGCTCGGGGCCGGTCCCGGGA